CCCCAAAACCCCAAAACCCCAAAACCCCAAAACCCCGGACGTTCGCTCCACTATTGAAAATTATAGTTTACAAAACATGGTGAAGATGAGAAAATATATCCAAGATATATGAGTATGACACAGAGCTAGAGTTTTAACAAATTAACAAGAGATAAGATAGCCTTAGAGCCTTTAAAGAATCTCCTCTTTAATCCGAAGAATCCCATTTTATTGTAACCATCTCTGATTTGAATACTCTCCATCATAATTTTGATTTCTAAAATACAGCTGATAAATCTCTTCTTTGGATAGGATTTCTTCTCGCGAGTAACTAAATTATAGGGTTAATATCAATAGATACTAAATAAATCATTTTAGTGAGTTGAAAGAACAAGAATTATAGTGATTGCATTGGAGATAAATATTCATTCCAAAAGAGCATTATAGCAAGGGATTTATATCGCTCATTCAATAAAGTCTATGACAAAATTTACATTTCTCATCTAATTATGATCTTTTAACAATTTCTTCACTAATGTCAAAGCTTATGACGATATAAATCCCTTTGAAAACAGTTAGAGCAGTATATATTAAGCCAAGATTGTGTGCAATTTACCTTCTTCAAGATCATTTTCTCTACTTGGGGAACTGCGCTCTTAGGTTCTTTCTTCTATAAACAGTTATAAAAATTTAGAAATTAGCAGGTATTAAATCCGTTTACCCAGAGCCGTATACCAGAGGAATATTCATAAACTTTCAATCAAACCTAGCTCGATAGTGAGGCAAGAACTTAAGAAAGGAATTAAACCTCTAACTTTTTCCAGAGAAGTGGGATATTAACCAAGTACCAACTAAACTCCTAGTGGGTGTTACTAGTTTCATATAAAGTGCCTCTCACAAATTGCACTATTTGGAAAGGAAGCCTCTACATTTATGCCCGAGGAGCGTTAATCAATCGAACATTTCTTTCCAGCTTTTATGTGACTGGAAGTACCACCAATTGTCTTACCTTGTTGATGAACTGACCAAATTTGCTGAGTAGAATAGTTCTGGAGTTCAAATTGGTTGGACTGAAACACCTGAGTTGGTACCTAACTTTGGAGGATGTCTGGACATAGTTCTTTACCCCCGACTCCCGCTGATTACTCTAGGTGTGTATACTTTTCTTGATTCTAAAGTTAAGTTTAAGGTTTACCCTGGCTGTTCATGCTTGGAGAGAAGCATTTTCTTCATATTATTGCTGACTTTAAATAAGTCCAGAGGCTGAATTGGATATAACTTGTTGATTCTTCCTAAAGACATCATGAGGGTTTGCAAATTTCAACTTTTCAAGATGGAACTTATCAATCATTTTAAGAAAATTTTCAATTAGATTTTATTAACATTATTCCTCTCAAGTTGGCTTAACATTCAGCCAAGGCAAGTTAGAAGTGGATATAATAAAAGGATGTATTATTTCAGCCAAATGTTCGAAATTTAATAGGGAACTATTTAATTATACTCAAATTTTTATCAGCAACATTGAGTCTATGCCAAATAACCCTAGCTTGGTACTCACATCTCTCTTAGTTTAATGCCAATATTGGGATATAAAACTAGTACGTATAAACTTTTCAAGGAGAAGCAGAAGCTTTCATGCTGACTGCTTAAATGGAGAGGCTGTATACTTAGTAAACTAGTACTCTGAAATTCATAAACCATCATTAAATTACGACATATCTGAACTCACCAAGATTAAGAAATATAAGTCATTTCAAAATGACTCTTGAACAGAGTCAGCATCATCAAGATGGAACAGTTACAATAAAAGTTCTGAGGCTCTAAGAAATGTATGAGAGTCAGTTCTAAGAATCTTTAGTGATTAAAATAACTTATGCTTTTAACTAACTAGTTTTTAAGCAACAAGAGCTATCTTTACTTAACTCCGATAATATTTCCTAAGTTTATTAAAAGGGGCCTAGTAGAAATTGGATTTGAATCTCAAACAATTTAAGTAAGAAAGCTCAGAGGATTAACAAGAGTTTAACAGGATTTTTGAAAAAATTTATTTTAAATTGACTGAGAATCTCAGTTTACTTTAAATTTTAATACATTAGATTTACTTGGCTAATGAGTAGGCTATGAAATATTATTTATAAAAGCACCAAAACTTGTATAAGTCTGACAGAGTCAATTATATTCACAGGTAATTATATTAATATGAAGAAGATAGCTCATACGATATTTATAACCACTCTTATCTTTCTGTGAAATAATAAAGGTTGACCCATTTTCTAAAATTTTAGAAATTATCTACCAAATTTTTAAAACCTAATAATAAAATACTTTTTGAGACAAAGAAAGCGCTCAAAATTTTCAATTTTCTTTTGTTCACTTGCTATGTTTATACAATTAGTGCACTAAGCCAAGCTGAGTGGTTCTTTACTTATTAAATTATTTCATAACAAAGCGATTATGAATCCATGCACTCGGTTTGGAATCTATGAATCTAAGGTTTAATTGATTTAATTCAAATAGTACTTATGATATACTATCGGCTCTTCTTTACAATAACGCGATAATAATAAAAGGCATAAGGGCTAACATAATCCTAAGTTTGAAAGCAAGCTTTATTTATGGCTTATAGACACTTCTCGTCCCTTAGCACTTGATAAACTGTAGAAAAAATTTTATGAATAATTTCCTCGACTACCAAATTTCTCTTACTAACTTATATGAAAAGATATTTACCATGATCAAAAATAGAGCATAGTTTGTTAGAAAATTTAGCTTCAAACATATAGAAAGGAGTGCACTTGATTATGTTTCTGATTAATATTGGCTCTGAACTAGTAGGGTTAGGCTAGTTCAGCTTGTGTTTATGCTTCAACATCACTTGCAGAGCCTAACAAGTACTAAAATACGAAGAGTGAAGGTAAGCCATATAGCAATATTAATACTTAGATCTATGGCTACTTCAGCCACTAATTTAAAATAACTTAAATTGCTAGCGTATTATCTCTCCAACCAATATCAGTATGATTAAGTCAGTACTATATCTATCTTGCAAATATAGTAGATTATTAAATATTTAAAAAAATATTTGATGATAGAAATTTATATGCTACAAAAGCCTGAATTTATTTGAGGGCAATAATATTGTTCTCTGACTTCAGAGCTCAAAAACTTGCATTGAAGTTTTCATTGGCATCATAATAAATAACCTAGCCAACCATCCAATTTAGAGCATGCTAATCACATAATTTCCAGGATGGAATAAATATGTCATGAGCCTAGCACACCTAGAGACGTATCATAAGTAAATAATCCCAAATATAGAATAGAGATTCTTGAAGTTTTACACCAAGATCTGTCATGCACCCAATACTGGACTAATATCAGGCCTAACTCTTACTCTTGGTCCTTGCAGCACTGAACTGGTTCCTTGATAGCCTAATCTTGGTGCTCCGGATTCTTGGTGAAGCTACAGGAGACCTAGCCAAGGACAAATCTGCTCTGACTTCAGAGATGTATCTGTCTCTATTGGCCATAAGGGTTTTGATGGAAATCATTTGTTGATTATTAATATTTAGGCAAGAGAGGATTTATGGGGTTTTGGGGTTTTGGGGTTTTGGGG